CCAGGGCCTCCCCATTGGACCCGGATCCTTTTCCCAATGCGCATATAACATGAGCGGACAAGCGACAGCGGACAAAACACTTGCACCTTTTCTCCCTACATACTACCGAAGATGAAGGTCATTACTGAAGAATGGCCCTTCGCCCCTTTGGAATCGGCAGAGTGCATCGTCTGCCTGGAGACAAAGAAGCCCTCTGAATTTCCCAGCTCACCCCTGACGAACGACTGCGAGCACAGCCCGGCTGCTTGTTTGGAATGCGTCAAGTTCGCCATCAGCTCCGATCTCAAGACCAAGCTCTGGTCTGAAGTGGCGTGTCCTGAATGCGACAGCATTCTCTCCTTTGAAGCCGTGCAGCAATACGCTGATGAGGCGACTCGACTGAGACACGCCGAGCTCTCAGTCCGTCAAGCACTTCAGTTAGACGACGAATTTATCTGGGTATGATCAGCCAGTCTCTGTGCCATTGGCCCCTGGACTGACTTGCCAGCGCAGTGTTCTTCCGGCTGTGGGGACGGGCAGATTCATGATGGCGGTTTCGACCAGCCGATCGTCAAGTGCGGTTCCTGTGGGCAGCTGACTTGTTTCCAGCACAAGGTGGCGTGGCATGTAGGCGTCACATGCGGGGAGTGGGACCTGCTCAAGGAGAACCCTGCTCCTCGTCAACCTACCAGAGGCAACCAAACTCAACAGATGAGAGAGATGCAAGAGATGCGAGCAAGCGAGGAGGCAATCAAGATGATTGCAAAGTCGTGTCCCAGTTGCGCTAGGAACATTGAGAAGAATGGGGGATGGTAAGTTTCAGCCAATCTCAGAATCTGACTGGATCCCGCTGACCCAACGCGTTGCAGTGCTCATATGACCTGTAAGGCAGTTTTATATTCTACCCTTGAAGCCAGCCCGAGCCTTGTCGAAATGGTTAACCGTTGCTCCCAGGTCTCGGCTGCACTCATGAATTCTGTTGGCAATGCGGGGCCCCTTGGAAAGGGCACACGGGGTGTATCAAAGGCTACTACATTTCTAGTAGCTAGCAGCTGTGCGGGCAGGCGCAAATAATCTTCTTCCCTCTCTCAATATTTCACCCCTACTATATCACACTTGCTAAGATTCGTGAGATGCAGGTATTAAATGTCTGCACCAGTTCTGCTGGGAGTGCTTGGCCGACTTCAAAGAGATTATCAGGACAGATAACAGTGCTCACAACGCCGGGTGCCCCTTTCACACAGACAACCTTCCATGATGCGGCATGTAAAATAAGCAGGCGAAACACAGTGAGGCATCAATTAGAACGTAAGAGTGGGATTTTTTAACGGGATCAAGGCGAGGATGACAGCCTGTACATAGTGCTCCTTTTGATCAATAACATCGCCCGTCAGCAACCCAACGGATCCGTTCTTCTGCTTCAAATTAGTCCGCCCCCAGACCTGGTCCTCGGCTGGCCTAAGCATGACACCCCATCCACCATTCTTGCTGTTTCCTCTAGCAAGTAGGAGGCCGTAGTCCGCGCTTTACTAGCGAGGCCTTCCGTCAAAGGGGCTAATCTAACCGCCGGCAGCAACGATGGTGCTAAGGTGGGGCCGTAATTTCTCGTCTTTGCAGCGCCCCCGCCAACGCCCACCAGGTTCAAAACTAAATGATATGTTGCTTTTCCCAAAGGGATCAATCAATGTGTTTCCGGTTTCCGAGAGATGTGTCCCTTTCCCATTCTGTCATGTCACAGTAAAGTTGTCAATCTATGGTGACACAGCGGCGAACCTCCTCCACCACTGACTCTCGCAGCTCAGATATTCGCCCAGGTCGTTCAAGCCGCTCGACGGCTCCTCCCCAAAGCCAAGCCCAGCCCTCTTATTGAATTGCGCGCTCGAGTACAACGCAATCGCCGGGGCGGCCAAGAAGACGCCGGCGAATGCGCCGGCGCCCACGTCCAGAAAGTAGCCCGCCCAATGGGTCTGCCCGGCGCGCTTCCTGCCGCCGTCGCGCATCGGCAGAAACGAGAAACTCGCAGCCATCCAGAAGAGGGCGAAGACGGGGTAGACACCGGCCATGATGATCACGGGGAACCCACCGCGGCTTGCACTCTTCAAATCCAGCAACCCCTCAACCAACAAAACAGCGCACAGCCCGCCCTGCACCAGCGCGCTGAGGCTCGTAGCAAAATTAAACACCCTACCACGCCACGCGCGGCCCAGCGCGTCGCCGTACCGCACGCGACAATCAATGCACAGCGGCAGCGCCGTGACGGCAACCGTCAACCCCTTGACGATCTTGGTAGCCCCGATGTCGTGGCGCGCCGTATTGGCCGCGACGAAGAGGACCTGAGTCACCGGCGCGAACAACGCCGTGTAGCCCCAGCTGAACCACCCCAGCGCCGTCACGCTGCGGTCGAGCGCCGTGGCCCCCGGTCCCGTCGACGCCAGCGTCGGGTGATTCTTGGCCCATAGCTTTGCCGCGGCTGACACGGCCGGCTGCTCCAGCCCGCGCACCACGGCTGCGCGCGGCCACATGTTCGCCCACAGGATGCCTGACCTTCCCGGACCTGTGGGGAGGTGTGTGGGCGGCGCCCCCCACATGGGGCCGTTGGAGTAACCGTTCGTGTAGTTACTGTTGTAGGCTGGGTCGGAGTAGCCGGTCAGGGCGTAGTTGCCGTTGTAGGCCGGGGGCGCCATGAGATGGCTGGAGGCTTCTGTGTCGTCGCCCTGGGCAGCGCTGGCTTCCGGCGCGAGAGGGTCCTCGCTTCTGTGATCCGGCCCCGGCGCCGGACCCCATGTGTTTGTCACGCTGCGGTAGAGCATGTACAGCCCGCCCAGCAGGACGCGGAAGATGGCCAGCCATGCTATCCAGCCCGTCATGAAGGCCACGAGCCACCCCGATGTGAGGCCGTTGATGACGGAGCCGATGAAGGCCGAGAGAATGGCGCTGAAGGCGCTGGCCGACGGCGAGAGGGCGCATCCCGATCGTGGGAAAACATCTGTCGCGAGCGACTCCATGATGAGGTGTTGTTGTTGTTGTGGCCGAAGGGAACTGGCTCGGGAGGAGCGATCTATAACGGCGGGGATTTCGCGATGAAACAATGGCCAGGGGCAAAGCCAGTGGCAAAGCCAGCGCAGCAGCCAGCGCAGCATTGAGCACACCAGCACAGCCACATCCTTCGTAAGGCAACCATTACCACCACCAACAACGCTCCACTGCAGCGACTTAAATTAAATCAAAGCCTCTAAAAAGGGTATACGTAAATATATACTTGTCAGCTGAGACTCGATGATACGATTAGCAACGCAGCTAGGTTCCGGACTCCAGGGTGTTGTTTTCAGGCGATAGATATGTACTACCTAAGGTAGGGTAAAATAGACAAGGCATTAAGTCCGAGGAAACTAGTAAGGTCCCAAATAGAAGAACCCCTGTCTATAACACTCTTATGCTGATCTTCATAACCCACGCCGCAAGATGCTCCATGCCGAAGGGGATTCCTGACCATTGGAAAAACATGGGACCGTCAGGATGCACCGTAGCGATCATCTATTTGCACTCGGTACATCCATCCCTCCACATTTTCCACTCACCGGCTTACAGTCACACTGTCAGCGGCCGCCAGCAAAAAAAGGCGGTAAGATCAGTGGCCACGGTCGCATTCAATCGCAGTCAATTGCCAACAATAGTCATGGTCGCAAGCCATCACAGTCAATTGAACAGTCAATACCACACTATTATAGCGATTCAAATCGCTAAAAAGGTTCAAAAAACTTAATAAAAATCCTGCACCTAATCAAAGAGAGCTAACCACGCCTATCGAGATGCTTATTTGACTACGTTGAAGGTGCGTGTGTAGTTGAGCAATCCATTGCTTGCAGTGAGTCTAGGCTTGCAGTGGGTGAGCAAATAGATGATCGCTACGGTGCATCTTGACGGCTTAAAAACATTGGGATGCTAGCTTTCAACGTCCCAATCTAAAAAAAAGATAAAAGATCCAGTTGTTACAACCTGTGCACTAAGTACCTAAGTACTTAGTGTTTAACGACAGATCGTAGAGCAGGACGCTCCAGGGTTGGGGTTGCGGGAAGGTTGAAACTCAAAGGCAAGTAACGTTATCTCAGAAAGGGGTATCACACTCTGTCAAACAGATTGCTGTCACCAAGGACTTGTAAAGTTATGGGACACAATAGAATGTAATTGCTTGCATGAGGAACAGGAATTCTCACGCTCCATGGTGCGGTGCATGTTGGTTTGCTTATACCAAATAACTAGGAATGTAACTTATACCCTTGCTCTATCTGATCTATTGCTCTCAAGGGGAGCACAGAGAGTGTAAGAGCGCGCTGCTCTGTATGCTCTCTTGATCTCTATGAGAGCACAGAGATCATAGGAGCACAACGCTAATTAGGTGCATCCATCTCTTGTTCCCTGACTAGGTACATCCGTCCTCTTTAGTCCTGATTAGTTACCTTTGCTCTTCCATCACCTGACCATTAAGTGGGTTGTTACATACGCTCCTCCCTTCCTAGTTCTTTTTCCCATGAAGAACTATAGGGTAACTTTTTGTTCCTTCTTTCATCCACCATGCCTAACAATCATATTTCCAAAAAAACCTCGCCCTTCCACCTCTTATCATATTGATTCTGCCAACTTCATCTCTATCTTCAGTATCATTAAGCCTATTAGTTGCTCTTATTACAAGTTATATAGCATCAAGTCGTCCTATAAGGTCGCTAGTCACAGCAAGTCCTATGGTCCTTGTCTTTGGGCGAACACTTATGGTTGCAATATGTATGGTAATGATCCTGACATTCTGCGTCATGTCCTAGACCAACTGGCTAGTTCTCCTCTTTTATTTTCTAACTGGGACAATCTTTTAAATGGAAACCCTCCTTTTAATCAAGAGTAAGCACTCTTTTCTTTCCTAACAGTATAAGGAAAAATGGAAATTCATATGCTAACACAATGCCTTATGTCTAGACATGTCAGGTCTTCATAGGTCATCGCAACCCAGGCCATTTTCAACAAATTCTATCTCTATAGTATAGTGGTAGCATGCTTCGCTCTTATGCTTTAGTCATAACGCCGACACATATACTATATATTGGTCGTTATGGCTAGGACAGTGCCGGAGAGGTCAGGGGTTCAATTCCTCCTGAGGGCATTTCTTTTTGCCCTTTTTGGTTTGTCAGGGTTTAAGTGATGGAACTCTTTGACTTGTTCTAGGCACAAGAGTCCCGTGTATGGTTTCTAAGAGTTATCTACAGGTCCATAGCCAAACCACTTGACTAGGTACTATAATACTTTTTTTTTTTGAAATTATAAATCCAAGATCTCCTCCACTTCAAATTCTTCCTCATCTACTTCTACTTCTAGGTTTTTTTCTAGTGGGGCATTCTTGGGTGTGGGTTCTAACAGTAAGATGTTGAATACTTTGGTAAGCTTTATAGTTTTTAGTACTAACTTATAGTTTAACATTACTACCTTCTTTACTATTTAGAATGGTCTATATCTCTTAAAGTCAAGCTTCTTGCTTGGTTGTTTTGTTCTTAAATTTCTAGAAAATAGATAGACATAGTGTTCCTATTCTAGAGTTAATCCCTCAACTCTATAATTATTATAATAGATCTTTATTCTTTCATATATAAGTTTAAGTTCTTTCTTTATGTCACACCAGTCAGACTCACCTAAGGTCAACGGGGTTATTCACCCCCTTGACCTGGGTCGACCATGGTCATGGGAATCACACACACCATCTATGTGCTGGTGAGCTCACCTAAGGTCAATAGGGTTATTCACCTCCTTGACCTGGGCCCACCATAGTCACACTCTGATCCACAGTAACAGGTCCATTGGATCTGGTGAATCACCACACATCTGGCAATCGTCATCGGGCTTTCAGATCTGCTATGGATGAGCCATGGGACTCTGGCATCTTGGCGGATTGTGTCGGGAGGATCCAGGGCCATACACAGGAAAAGGATAGCCATACAGTAGATCAACCCGCACCAACCTTTATCATCAGACTTTAGATTTATCATGGATAAACCATACAACCTTAGCATCATGGTCCAAGCTGCATAATAGCTAAATGGATCATATAATGGTCTTTTAATCAGGAACCTCCTTGATATTATAGTCATCTAGTTGGAAGACCTTGGACTGACATTTGCTGAAGTCTAGCTTTAGTGGTGACGGGTAGTCGTGACCAGCCCACTTGGGCAGCAATAAGTCATAAAGGGAACCACTGCTGCGACAGCTAATATGGGATCAACCTAATAGCGCTGTGGCCAGTGTAAGTACCAAGGACTTGAGGGAACCTGAATAGCAATGGACACCAAGCCACTTGAGCTGTTAGGAGCAAGTACCAATATAGGCCATGGACTTGTCATGTGATGGCTGGCTTCACTTGGTATGTAGCCGTGGATTTGTAGGGCGTGTGTGATGGGCGGCTAGGGAACCTTGGGGCTGAAATGGATCTTATAGGTATCTTGGTATCATTGTATCTAGTATATAGCCCTCCATAAAAGAGTTGAAAGAGTAATGGACCCTCAAAGAAGGAAGAAGCTCTGTCGTCCTTTTTGGAAACTGACCTTAGAAAGATTATTAGCTGAACTTTAGTGAAGCTGAGGGGAATTCTATCCTTGTGGAACCCTTGTTGTTTGTCCATCAATTCTTCATTATATCTTCTGAGATAGTGATCTTGTTGAATTGCTCTTGCACCCTGTGCTTGGTGATCCTGTCTCTGATTGCTGTGAGGAGCACTGTGGTGGTTTGGATGTGACGACCTGCAAGCAACCACCCTCTTCTTCAATTGACTTGCAACTATGAAGGCATCCTGTGTTATCTTCTGTTTGATCACTCCATCTCTCTGAACTTACATTCTATCTCCCTAAACGATTTAATCGTCTGACACTATATGGATCATCATTATAGCTCTACAGTCTAAGGAGTTATAGCTCTGCAGTCTTGTCCTTAAATCGATCACTCACCTTGTCGTTGTCACCCCTACTACACCTTACTTCTTACCTAGGTGTAGTGCCGGTGACACAGATAACTCCATGATCTAGGGAAATAGTTTAGGATAGTTGGCTATGGTTATTAAAGTGACCTTAGGTTTTTTAGCTAGTAGGAATACTTTATTATCCGTTTTGGCTTCCATACTGGCACACCAGGTCTTCTTGGCGCTGGCCGCCTTTAGGGGCTGTGGTATCTCTTTGCCATCCTATGACTTCTTGCTATAGCATTCTAGGGTATGTCTCTGGCCCTATAGCGATGGTATGCTTTATTCTTCTTGTGTTTCTTGATATTAGCCTTGTCTATACCTATGATGGCTTCCTTATAGGATTTCTAATGCTTATTGTGGTTTAAGTTGGGCTTTGGCTTGTCTTCACCCGGCGTTCCAGCTGGACGAGGACAATCACGGTGCTCTTTAGAATCCACAGCATTATTATGTAGCACTTCAATTGAAGTCCCTGCCACCAGCTCGGAGAACAGGGAAGTCGGCAGCACCCTCACCCCCGTCTCTTGCTCAGTTCTGATCCCAGACGTACCGAAACCCCCTCAGCTCGATATCAACACTCAGGTCCCGCAAGTCCGGCTCGCTCCATACTAGAAACTCCTCGAACCCGGACTTCTCCATGACCCTCGCGCTCGCAAAATTATCCCACGGCGTGAGCGATGCCACTTGCTCCTTGACCACGCCGCCTGCCACTTCCCCATCTAGCAAGCTCCTCGGGTCAACCTGAATCTCCACCTCTCTCCTCGGCAGCGTCTTCCACATTTCCAAAAACGCACGCGTAAACTCGGTCGTCAACCCCTGGCCCCATCGCTCCCTGGTCAGCATGTAGCCGATCGCGGGCCACCCGAAAACCGAGGCGATGGAATGACACCCCCCGATGCCAATGAACTCTTCAGTCTCCTTGAGGCAGATGGCAAAGTGGTATGTCTTTTCGTCATTGGGCGGAAGGAAGCGGGTAAGTTGAGGCTGGGTTTCTTCAAGCGTGGCATCGGGGCGGCCCTGGAGATCGTTGGCCATGACTTCGGGCTGGGAACGGATTCTGTGCAGGCCGTGGACGTCGCTAGAGGAAAGCGGCCGGATGAGGAGGCGAAAAGTAGCCACGGGGGCGCGGGCGGAATTGAGGGGGAAAGGGAGAATAGGGAGAGTTGTTTTCACAGTGACGAAAGGGGGTTTGGTCGACGCCATGGTTGAGACGGAAGGTGAATCGATTGGCCTCGGGTTGTAAGGAAGTGGGAGTTTTGGGGCCTTTGATAGTACCAAGCGGCTCGAGGCGCCGAAACAACTTTCATCAGCGGGGTAGTGTTGGGCCGGAGCTGACGCAGAACGGGGCCGTGATTATGTCATGAACTTGCACTGCCACTTGATCATGATACTATAATCCCACTCTAGGTAGTGTGTATCCGCTATTACCTCTCTTGTTGGGCGCTGCCCAATGAACTTGTCCGTTGAGCCGTTAATCAAAGCCGCGGATGCCCACCCATCCATCAAATTCCCGGTCTGGGAGCGAATGCAAATTCGACGAGGCCAATGGAGCAGGTCACCAATTCGCATCAGAAACCCAGGGAAGATGATAGCATTGGCGTCGTCGGCTGCATTGTCAGGTTTGATCTCGTTGATTTTAGAGATGTTTGAGGCAATGAGCAGCGTCGACTTGAAATTCTGACATGGGAATTGAGTGTGGGTCCCAGTCAAGTGCTCCTCCCACGAGTGAATTTGCGTTATCCCAAGAGGAAAAGAGGGAAAGGCCGACGAATCGTAGCGGGTTGAAAACGCCTTCCTGTCGATCTCTCCCACGGCGCTGAAGACTGCAGCGCGTTTGTCGGTCCGAAAGCGCAACACCAACCTCATTTTGGATCCATGCGGGGGAAGCCGTGCCAGGTCTGTCATGGCTGCAGAAGTTCTGGTGTTCATCCGAACCTTTATTGGGCAGCGAACGCTGGTGGCGTCCACTTGAATTGGGAAACGACTTCAGTGTCTCAGATGAGGTGTCAAAGACGCCGCCCTTCTTGTCACCACCCCATTGGAAATGTTCACATTAAAGCATCACATTAAACCCAAGCCTGACGGCCCCGAGGAAGGATTTTGTAAGGCCAGCTGGCACGATTCAGCAACACGTTTGACTGATTTAGTGAGGTAACATACGCAATGTCGCAGAGTCCACAGCCGCCGAGAAAGGAGTACGAGTATGAGGAGATTCCAGGTTCGGGACTGATCAGAGTGCTCCGTCTCGACAACTCCCAAGACCCGAAAGCCGATCTGTCTTGCTCCCTCGAGGTAGTCGACTTGAAGAACCGCCCTCGTTTCGCAGCTCTCTCGTATGTCTGGAAGAACCCACTGGACCCTTCCAGTGAGCCACCAGACCCTCCCAGTGAGCCGCCCGTCGCCCACATTTTGTGCAGGGCCGGGAATACAAAGGTCGGAAATGCGACGATCGGGTACGTAACGATCACCCCAAACTGCCATGCCGCTCTCATGACGGTCCGGCATCTCTACGGCGGAATCACCATCTGGGTCGACGCCATCTGCATCAACCAGGGAAGCGGCACTAGCAAGGAGAAGGATGAGCAAATCCCGCTAATGGGTGAGATCTATTCGCGGGCTACCACGGTGTACATCTGGCTTGGACCTGGCGACAAGACAAGCGACGAGGCAATCGACAGCCTCTCAAAGGCCGCACGCTGGAGGCCTGCCTGGCCTGGAATGCCGTGGTTGGCTCGTGGTGAGGCCCAGACGCCATCTAAGGATTGGCGGCGGACTGTAGCCTCCACGGTGAAGACCTCCTTCACAACACTCAGAATGTGAGTAGCTGTCCGGTAACGCGGATATGACAAGCACTGACGAGAGAACTACCGATAGCCCGTTCCTTCTTAGGCGAATCAAACCACTCCGCGAAAAGCTCCAACCCCAGAACCTGGACCACCTGTTGGATCAGCCGTGGCTCCAGCGAGCTTGGACATTCCAAGAGGTTATTCTGTCGTCCGACTGCACAATCCTCTGTGGAAGCAAGGCCATCTCATGGGAAGAGCTTCACCGTGGCTTGCATTTTCTGTGCCTCCCTAATGATCCGAAGACCCGGAGTCCGGGTTATATGAAGCGCTCAGCAAGCACCGAGGCCTGGATGGACTTGTTCAACATTTGGTTGA